ATCTATCTGATAAGGGACTAAAATTCACAATATACAAAGAATTCATAAAATTCAATACCAAAAAACAAACGATCCAATTAAAAAATGGGCAGAAGATCTGAGTAGACAACTTTTCTTTTTTTAAATTATTATTATGTTCTGTTAGTCAACATACAGTACATCATTAGTTTTTTTTTTTTCTTTAAAGATTTTATTTATTTGACAGACAGAGATCACAAGTAGGCAGAAAGGCAGGCAGAGAGAGAGAGAGGAGGAAGCAGGCTCCCCGCTGAGCAGAGAGCCCGATGTGGGGCTCGATCCTAGGACCCTGGGATCATGACCTGAGCCGAAGGCAGAGGCTTTAACCCACCGAGCCAGCCAGGCGCCCCCATCATTAGTTTTTGATGTAGTGTTCAATGATTCATTAGTTGTGTGTAACACCCAGTGTTCATCACATCACGTGCCCTCCTTCTTCATACCCACCACCCGGTCACCCCATCCCCCACCCCCGCTCCCTTCTGTAATCCTCAATTTGTTTCCCAGAGTCCAGAGTCTCTCATAGTTTGTCTGAAAACAATCCATCGACAGATGAATAAAGAAATCATGGTGTACAGACACAGACACACAGACACACACGATTATAATACAGCCATAAAAAGAATGAAATCTTGCCATTTGAGACAACACGGATGGAACTTGAGGGTATTATGTTATGTGAAAAAAATCAGAGAAAAACAAATACCACATGATCTCTCTTATATGCGGAATCTAAGACAAACAATAATCAAAAACCAAGCTCATAGATACGGAGAATACAGTGGTGGTTGCAAAGGGAGGGGGTCAAAGTCGAGAAATAGGTGAACTGTTTTTGTTTTGTTTTTAGTTAATAAATGGAATAAATATTCTGATCCATAGTAAAACACATTATCCACTGCACCGTCCCTTTAAACTGAATATTAAAAACAAACCAAAAAACAGGCCTCCAAAGGTACAGGGAAGTTGGTGTCGGTGTGAGGCAGAAGTACACTGCGCATTAAACTTTGCTGGGTCCTACACAAAAATAAATGCAAAGCAGAAACTCTAAAATACCATTCAGCCCTTCAGGATACCCTGATCTGAAAGACCGTCCTCCGAAAGAATCTATGCATTACTCGGGAAAGCTCCAAGAATAAATATTCTCCAATGAACCTAACTCCATGGGGCACATCTTGAAAGACGGAAAGGGGAAATACGACTTACAGGAACTCTTCTAGAACCTGCTGAAATTTCAATATCCCCTGAATCTATGACAACAAGCCCAAAAAACAACATTCAACTGCAAGACTGATCCCTCTCAAAAGTTAGGTCAAAACTCTTGCATGCCTGTACCTGCATAAGAAATCAGCTTGCCACAGTTACATTAAGAGAAAAAGTACTGAATGGGGTAGGAGTCAAGTGCCTCTTCCCTCTCAGAAGCTGGAAGAATTGAGTAAGACACAATGGATGTTCCATTTGGTCTTCTGCATAAGAAAGGAGGGGTGGTCTTAGAAAATTGTTTAGATATTGTCCAATTCTGCAGTCACAGTTCTACACATTTACAGAAGTAGTCCCATTTCTGAATTCTTTGACCAGATTCAATTATTAACACCAAGCCCAAGGGAAATTTTTAAAATAAAGATGTTTCATTTGGAAAGTAATTTGACCGGATAAAAAGTCATGAAAGTAGGGGCACCTACCTGACTGGCTCAGTTGGTGGAACATATGACTCTTGGCTTTGGGACTATGAGTTCAAGACCCACACCAGGTGTGGAGATTACTTAAAAATTTCTTTTTTAATTTTTAAAAAGTCATAAAATTATATTCCTAAGCCTTCCAGTACTGCCACCTCCAGGCATCTCTCCTAAAGAATAAACCCACTGCCTGTTTAAGGCTATGCGTGTCCCCCGGTGCTGGTGCCATCACTTACACCAGGACACAGAACCTGTCAGCGCCTCCCCTTGACACACTGGTCCAGTTCTGCTGAATAAGACGACACTGGATTCCTCCAAGTAGTTGAGCTGATCTGAGTCATTCCTTTCCACTCAGACAGGAGCTATGCTGAAGCCCAGAGACCAACTTTTTGTGATAGAAAGTTTCTGTCTACAACTATAGGCAAAGGTCACGAAGTTGCTGAACCGAGAAACGCTATTATTCTAAGACGCTTCATATATCAACATAAAACCATTCTTGGACTAAAGTTTTAATACAAACATGAAGTCAATAAATCTATCCTATCTCTCATCCCTGTTATGCTTGGACAACGTCTCCAACTCCTTCCTTCCCTGCTGCTCTAGTTTTTCCTTGTTTCCATTGCCAGACCCACCCCCCAAGACCCTCCAGCCTAACTACTCATCACAATGCATGGAATCGCCTTGAATGGTCAAGAAACAACTCCACACCCTGACCTCTTCACCAAATGTTCTCTCAACCTCTTCTGTTCTCTCTACAGCTTCTGATTCTCTGCCACAAATGCCGCTCAAGTGAGTGAGTGATGCTCATTGTCTTGATCTGGGTAGTTGGAAAAGGGGGGAGGGGCAAGATTTTCTAAACTTCCTTCCCTTCACTAAGCCATTACATTCCTACCCTTGTTTCAAAAGTGAATCCCTACTCTGATACCTCTCCTTTTAATCCCACATTACTTCTACCTCATCATTGTTTTAAAATAACCTTTACCTAAATGACAAAAAATAAAAAATAAAAAGTCTCTTGGGATTCCTGCCCACGGACACAAACAGCACTTCTATTTGTACTTTCCTTTTCATTCCTGGCATCTGTCTCTGTGGAGGAGGTAAACTTCCTCCCATCAAACCACCAAAGGTCCATCTCTCTAGGTGTGCCATGTCCTTCTCTCCCTTCACCCTCACCAGGGACCATGTTTAATCACCCCCTTTCTAGCACTGACATATTCCTTAGCTGGATCTTCCCCAGAAAGACACAAAGACACACACACATACGATACATATGTCGTTATATATGTATAACTCCTCCTTACCTCAATCTAGTAATACCCTCTAGCTACGTAGTAACATGCATTATATCTGCCTCTTTTCATGACCAGGATTAGGAGAAAATGCTAGTCTTCCTGGACTAACTGTGCCCAATTTCAGATCTGTTCAATTCTCAGCCCACTACTCTCTAATTCTACTTCACTAAAACTGTTCTATGCTTACCAAGGGCATCCGTGTGGCCAAACCCCGTGCAAACATTTCTGTTTTATCTGCTCTGATCTCTCTGAAGCACATCATGAGGGTCTATGATGACCTTTTGTTAAAATGTTCTCCTCGGGGTGCCCGGGTGGCTCAGCTGGTTAGAGCGTCTGACTCCTGATTTCAACCTAGGTCAAGATCTCAGGGCTGTGGGATGGAGCCCCACAATGGGATCTGCACTCATCAGGAGTCTGCTTGAGGATTTTTTCTTTCTCTCCCTCTGCCCCCTTCTTGCGAGCACACACTTTCTCTCTCTAAAATAAATAAATCTTAAAAAACAAAATATCCTCCACCTCAGTTTCTACGCCTATCTCTAGGTTCATTGATTGCTTCCAGTGTTTTGTTCATTCCACGATGCTACTTTCTTCCTCTCTTCATACCTGCCGTATCGCTGCTTTGCAGGACCGCAGTTGTGGCCCTAGGCTCTTTTTATTATCTGAGCTTACCCTGGATGACTACTCAAATCTGGCAGTTTCACCTACACTTGATCTTGGTCCCAATCATCCACATCAGGATAGACCTCAACATTAATCCCCAGAATCACACATCTAATTGATTCCACTTAACTTTGTGGAACCCACAACATGTCTCAAACTAAATTCATTTTCCCTTCTAACCTGTTCATGCTCCTATAAACTTTTTTAAAAATTCGAGTACAACAGATGATGTTACATTCGTTTCAGGTGTACAACACAGTGATTCGGCAGTTCTATACATTGGGAAAAGCTCACTGAGAAAAATGTAGCTACCATCTGTCACCCTAAAAATGATCACATTATTAACTATATTCCTTAGGTTGTACTTATCTTTATGACTTATTTATTTTATAACTGGAAGTTTCTGCCTCTTAATCCCCTTCACCCATTTTGCCCATCTCTCTTCCCCCTCCCCTCTGGCATCTACCAGTTTGTTCTGTTTATAAGACAGTTTCTGTTTGTTCATCTATTCGTGTGTTTTGTTTTTTAGATTCCACATGTAAGTGAAATCATATGGTATTTGTCTTTCACTATCCGAACTATCTCATTTAGCGTAACACCCTCTATGTCTATCTATGCTGTTGAGAATGGCAATATTTCATTTTTTTTAATCACTGAGTAATATTCCATTGCATATATACATCTTTTTTTTTTTTTTTTTTTTTTTTAGATTTTGCTTATTTGTTTGAAAGCAAGCAAGCGAGAAAGAACACAGAATGAAAAGGAGAAGCAAGACTCCCTGCTGAGCAGAGAGCCTGACATGGGGCTTAATCCCAGAACCCTGAGATCACGACCTGAACTGAGGCAGACGTTTAACCGACTAACCACCAAGGTGTCCCAACATCTTCTTTATCCATTCATTTATCAATGGACACTTAAGTTGCCTCCTTTGCTCCTATGAAAGAATTAATGGTGCCACAATGCATTTATTGTCCCGGTCCAGAAACGCAAGTCATCCTCAACTATGTCCTCTTGCCCTGACACGTTATCAGTCACCAATTCCACCAAACTCTCTATCTCTCGAATCCATTCCATCCTTAATTTGTCTATATGTCTTGCTTACATTGTTAAAATAAACTCTTAATTAAACTCTTATTTTCTAAGCAAATATTCTGTGTAATCCGTTTTTCACACAACTGCAAAAATACAAACTTGTATAAATGCTTCAATGTTAAGTATATGATATTCTAATAATTGTCTAATGTTCAATTTTATTCATATTTTCTCTATTTTCCAAATGTTCCATCCTCATCCTGCTTTTTTTTAAAATAAGAGCAAAAAGAAAACGATCATGTGAAAACAAAGATAATTGGTAACATACCATGCATCAGCGGTATATCTGTAAGACGATGGTCCTGTGTATGCCGAGGCCCTGGACACAACCCGGGTCCTGGGGAGTTGGTATAAGGGCAAATCTTCTTGCTCCCTTCTTTGAGCCACATCCGGGAGTTCAACAAGCAAGCCAGGACCCTGGACATCATTTGGAATCATCACGCCTAAAGAGCAAACCCAGACAGTAGTGAATACAGGATGCTTTTTTTCATCCTTCATTCCTTCAAGAAATAGTTACAGGCATCTACTAGGGGCAGAACCTTCAAGTCAGAACTCTCATTTATATTAAACTAGATAAATAAAATGTTTAATATGTCATATGATGACAAGTAGTATGGTAAAAAATGAAGCAATGAAGGAGGCGAGGGACTGCTCAGTGGAAGAGAGTTAGAATTTTACATATGGCCTCATGGAAAAGATGACATTTTAGCAATAGAAATATTTTTTTTGTTGTTTTTGTTTTTTTTTTTTAGATTTTATTTATTTGTCAGAGAGGGAGAGAGAGCGAGTGAGCACTGGCAGACAGAATGGCAGGCAGAGGCAGGGGGAGAAGCAGGCTCCCCGCCGAGCAAGGAGCCCGACGTGGGACTCGATCCCAGGACGCTAGGAGCACGACCTGAGCGGAAGGCAGCTGCTCAACCAACTGAGCCACCCAGGCGTCCCAGCAATAGAAGTATTTTATCAAAAGAACCCCCTTAATGACTGTACTCTAATCTCACTACACATTTTCCCATATCAACCTAACTGCAGGCACTCCTACAACATTTCACTTATTTAAAAAAAATTATTCCACAGAATAACAAATAACCAAATAAAAACACTTACATTAAATTTTTTTTTAAATTTTAATTTCAGCATATTAACACACAGTGTTACATTACGTTCAGGTGTATAATATAGTGATCTGACAATTCTATACATCACCCAGCGCTTATAATGTTAAGAAAACACATTTTTAATGGGGCTGTGTTTACAAATTTCAGAATTCATTTACATTTGTTTACCTCATTTGATTCTCATAACAAACTATGAGTTAGAGGGAAAAGATACTAGCAACCATATTTTATACACAGAGAAACTCAGGCTAAGGAATTTTTTGCCAAGTGCCATGTGCAAATTTACCTGATATGACATCTGTGTCATTTCCTCATTTACTGAAAAAAAGACTAGGGCAGAGTGGTGCACAGAGTCCTAGAACATATAATAGAGACCTGCGCGTGCGCTGGCATAGGTCCATTAATCACCCTTAGGATACACCCCAGTAACTGATCAGAAATTCTCAGCCAATCTTTCTTCAGCATAGTAGACAAATATAATGAACTGCGATCAAATGCCTTCCTTAAATCCACACATTTATAAGATTTTTTGGAGTTCTGGCTTTTTAGAAAATCAGAAATGATCTAAGAGAGAGAGAGAAACTGGGGCACCTGGGTGGCTCAGTCGTTAGGTGTCTGCCTTTAGCTCAGGTCCTGATCCCAGGTTCCTGGGATCAAGCCCTGCATCGGGCTCCTGCTCGGTGGGAAGCCTGCCTCACCCTCTCCTACTCCCCCTGCCTATATTCCCTCTCTCACTGTGTTTCTGTCAAATACATAAATAAAATCTTAATAATAATAAAGAGAAATTATCCTAAAATTTTTCCTATAAGCATGACCTAAACTCTTTCCATTTCTTTGTCATGAACAAACTTTCAGTAAACTCAGTACTACCACTTTTTATCTGGAATAAATAAAATAAAAATCCAGAAAATCTATAATCAGGATCTAATCAGTTGGTAATGCAACAGAACCCGAAGAGAGGATGCAAGTAATTGTAATGCTCAGGGGGTACTATAGGAAGTCTCAGGGGCCTGTGCCTCATCCCCGTGTACCCTTCCCTCTTGTCCACAGGCACCTACATTCCTGCGAAGCACTCTAATCCATATCATGGCTTCAGAGTTCTAGCTTTGCCTAAGCCTGTCTCCTCCCCACTGAGGAGAGACCAGAGTGGGACCAGACTCTGGCTGGAAGGCCAACACCAGTGTTAGGAAGAGGGAACAGGCTCTATCTGCAGAGTGCTTTCCCATCCACCTATGCTGGTAAAAGTGCCCTTTTCAATTATGGCTCTGGGTTTCACAGGTTGCCTCAGTCTGTTTAAAGCTTTTCATTACCGGTTCCGCACAAAGCCTGCTCGTGCCCTTTGCCCCCCTCCTCCTCCACGGACCTTGGGTGCTTGGACTCAGACATACATTTCTCATCTGTCACGGTGTCTGACACACTCACTCTTTACAGAGCTGCTCACCCAGTGCACCATGGTACCCAGAGCCCATAAAACAAATCGAGTCCTCGAGGGCCTATGCAGGTGTTGGGTAAGGGCCATACGGGTGCACAAAGGTTAAAAAAACAAAGGAGCTAAAAAAAAAAAAAGAGTTCCTGGACAAATGGGGGTTAATGTTTATAGAAGAGGAATGGGGGAAATTTTCCAAAGGTTTATACTTGGTGAGGTGCAAGAACAGAACGGTCAACAAAATAAAGGCAAGAAGAATCCGAGCAGAGGGGAGGGTGGGTTATGTGTACCGAGGCCACTGCAGAGGGAGGGAGGGCTGGGAGTTGCAATGCTGCTGAATAACCACAGGTAAGTGGCATTTCACTTTCTCATTCAACAAATATTTCCTGAGCACCTGCTACGGTAACACAATCAGATTGCCTTGCCTTCCAGAAGCCCAGTTTATAACAAGAGCTGGGGATGCAAATGCATAAGTGTGCCTGACTCTTGGGTGCAATGACGGACTCGCCCAGACTTCCCTGGAGGTACCATCCAGGCAGGGGCAGTCAAACATCAGGAAACAGAACTACTTTCTGTCTGAAACCTAAAACTTGTAACACTAAGTGTATTATTGATTGGGAATTTATCATGTGTGCTTCACCTTATGAATTATGCTAATTTATAGGTTCAGTTTCACAGCCCATGAAGGGTAGAGGCTCTTCAAGGCTGCAAAATGTTGGCTTAAGTATAGGCTCAACAACAGCCCTTTACACATAAGGTTCTCAGAAATAATTTTCTAATTAATTGTTCAGAAAAAGAAATTTAATTGTTCAGAGATAAATCTAACATCGCCTGTTACTAATAAAGTGGTCAAAGAGTCACAGATTTGAAAGAGGGCTTAGAGAACACTTAGCCTAAATCTTTCATTTTATAGGTGAGGCTTGGAGAAGCCTGTGGGATTGCCCGGTGACGCAGAGGGACCTGGGACTGAAGGAGTCAGCCGTTTGCCGGACAGGATCTCAAGAGCAAAATCAAACCTTGAGTAGAATGAAGTCAATATGGATGCCGCTGAAATCCGTGTCAGCTCTGTATTAATAATTTCTCAGCCTACCTACAGTTAGCATTAATCCAAACTGTCATGCCTACTGCACAGCATCCTAGAGGCTTTCAAAAATTTCCTTAACAGCATGTGGTTACAAATGCTTTTCCGGTGAGGACAGATCTAACATACACAAGTCTAACTTCACTCCCCAAACTATAATCTCTAAAAAAAAAAAAAAAAAATCAATTCCCAGGGCCTTGCAAAGTATTAGGTTAAGGCAGTGTAGTGGGCAGACTGGGGACCTCTCTAAAAGACAGACCCAACCACGGAACCGATGAATGGGACCTTACTTTGATTGAAAAAAGTCTTCGTGGATATAATTAAGCATTGTGAGATGAGACCATCCTGGGTTACCCAAGTGGGCCCGAAATCCAATGACAGATGTCCTTATAAGAGGCAAAGAAGAGAAGACACAGGGATAAGAGAGGACAGCAGTGTGAAGACAGAGGCAGACATCACAGTGAAGCAGCCATGAGCCAAGAAAAGGTACAGCCACCAGAAGCAGGAAAAAGCAAAATTTCCCTCAGGCCTTCAGTAGCAGCACAGCATCTTGATTTAGGACTTCAGGCCTTAAGAACAGTGAGGGAATTAATTTCTGTTGTTTTAAGCCACCAAGTTGGTGCCAATCTGGTAATCACTTGCCAATCACTTAAATAATACACAGAGCAGAGCTCAAGAGGGACTATTTTCCCTGTGTTCTTCCCAGCTTTGCTGCTCCTCCCCACACATACTCACCCCTGTTAGCCAGTCTATCCTTTTAATCCTAACAGCACAAAGCAGCGAATGATTTTCAACCAGGAGCAATTGTAGCCCCCAGGGGACATTTGGCAATGTCTGGAGACACTTGATTTTGATCATGACTCAGAATGAGAGTACCACTGGCATTAGGGTTAGAAGGCAGGAAAGCTGCTGAACATTCTACCATGCCCAGGTCAGCTCTCCTCAGCAAAGAGTCACTTTGTCCAAAATAGTAATGACATTGCTATAAAGTATCAATGACAATCAAACAGATATGGCCTATTAATTTAGTTATTCCTTCATTTGTGTCATGAATCTTCTCCACGTACTTAGAGGACAATAGAAATGTGGTAAATTTTTAAAAACAGTATAATGCGACACTTGTGGGAGAAAAAGTCCCATTTTTATCTGAGTCATGATTAGTTATGTATCATGAAAAACTGGATAAACTCTGGATAAAATCTAATCTTAGATATTCAAAATTAACTACCCATGCTGTGTTTTGACTCACAGGGAAGTGACAACTATTATCATCTCATAGATGACTCCAATCTTTTTTTTTTTTTTTTTTTGAGAGAGCGAGCAAGAGGGTATAAGGAGAGGCAGGCAGGGAGAGAGAATCTGAAGCAGGCTACATACTCAGAAAAGAGCCCAATGCTGGGCTTGACCTCACGACCCTAAAATCACGACCTGAGCTGAAATCAAGAGCCAGACACTTAACAAACTGAGCCACCAATTGGTGGCTTCAATCTTTAACACTAAGGATTCCATTCTTCAGAATTCAACAGAATGCTGAATTCATAGAAACCATTTTATAACCTTCTATAGTGCACTCTGGCTCTACAATGCATTACCATACAACTAAGAACTGCCCAAAGAGAAAGACTTCCTATAAGCAGACTCATAACACATGAAGGACAGCATAAATCCTGAACAATGGCTCTATAAATCCCAGTGCTGTGAAAGAACTTAACTGTCTCACCTAGGGATCTTAATAATATAACAGCCTTTGATATTTCAGTGTTGGATGAAGAAAAATTATGTTTCAAAGTCAAGTTTTCGAAATTGTATAAGAATCAATATTGGGGGTAGGCAAGGAGAGGCACTACACTTTTAGGATTCTTTAATGGAAACTAAGTTATTAATGCACCAAAACTGACCATAATATATGGCTACAAAAATGTTTCATTAATGTTTAAAATATGCCTTTCTTTATTAATATTTAACAACCCCATTCATTGAGCTAACAGTATCACTTAATAGCATCAGAGATTTTTAATATATATTAGTAGACTTATTTCAGATTTAGCACATAAGGTACTAGTTTTAATCCATACAGCTCATAAAAAGCAAAATCAACCATTGAAAATACAGCCCTCATAGAAAACAGAATCTGAAACTTCTCCGTTGACGTACGAGCCATGTTTATTCTTTGAGATATTCTGAAGTAGATTAATAAACAGATTTAAATTTGCATCATAATGAGTGAAAATATGACAGTAAGAGTTATCGTATATAAAAACAAAACTGAGAGATGGCAGAATAATGTAATTTGTGTTTATGAGAAACAAAAACCACAAACCTAAATCCAGACTGCTTTTTGTTAATGAATTAAGATTTCCCAGATCATCAAATCTGCCTTGTTGACTGTTTCCTTCAGATGAGGGTATGGAGGGTAGGGAACTGATGCCAAAATTTTCTTTCATCTTGAGAGGAAGAAAGACAGAAATGCATTAGTACTGTGTGATAAAGTGAGGAACATTGTAATGTTGTTCAAACCACATAACAATGATAGCAGAAAACTGGCCCTACAAATGTATCTGCAAAGTAACAGGTTAATACAATATATTTCCTTTGGCTAACATAAAACTAACTCAAGGGTCACACTGGATCACAACCTCAAAAGCTTCATCAATGATCCCAAAACAACTTGGTGGGGGATTTTCATAGCTCTAAGCTCTTGCTTCGCCCTCCCTATCACTTTTATCTGCCTGGTGAATACCAGTTACCCAAACCTAAAATAAAGCACAGTCAATGATTTTTGCGCTTTCTGCTTGTTTTCCTTTGATACATATCTTCTATGGTTTCCAAAAGTTATAATCTTCCAGAACAAATAATCTTCACTAATATATTTTATTATGATATATTTTTTAAAGATTTTATTTATTTGAGAGAGAGAGAGATAGTGAGAGAGAGCATGAGCAGGGAGCAAGGAGAGGGAGAAGCAGAGGCTCGATCCCACGATCCTAGGATCATGACCTGAGCTGAAGGGAGATACTTAACCAACTGATCCACCCAGGCACCCCTATTATTATATCTTACAAACTTTTATAGGCATAAAATGAAATGATACCATCAGGGCCACCAGAGGGACATACCTCAATTAAGATGAGTAACACTGTTATTCTCTATTGTTGGAAATTTAAGTCATTTAAAACAAAAAAGGTGAATGACATCTTTTATATGGTCCATTGTGTACATTAAGTGGTTATATTGGTCAGACTTCAATGGTAAGAGAAGGATGTCTCATAAATTGATGTACCAAAAACTGCTAACTTTTTCCATTCAGATTATGAATATAGCTAAGTACAGAACTCTATCAGATATCCAATGGAGCTTACAGAACATAGAATTCAACACAAATATTAAATTGGGATGAGAAAGTAGCTACAACAACCTAGCTGTTTATAGAATAAAAGAAGCAAGAAGAATTTCTTAGAGAGGCAATTAAGGAGGAGATGACAGGCACTAAATACCTAGAAGAAATTTTACAGCAAATTTTGGACTTAAAAAATGTTAATGGCAATTTTGTAACAGGAATAAGAGAATTAATATCTGAATCTAAATTTCAATAGAGAGAGTTAACTCCTTAGGAAAATGAGTTTTTCTAAATAGAGAAGAAAATAAGAACATACAATCAGTGTTAGGTAACTAATCCTCAGGCAAGGGTCAGATCTTTTGAAAAGTGGCAAAAAATTTAGACACTCCTCCAGAGAATATATGAAGGTAGCCAATGAGCATATGCAAAATTGCTCAACTTTTCCTAATAATAATAATTAGAAAAATGTATATCAAAACCACAATAAGATATACTACTCTGCACCTTAAAAAAAAACAAAAACAAAAACAGAAAACAGTTATTGGGGCACCGGGGTGGCTCAGTGGGTTAAAGCCTCTGCCTTCGGCTCAGGTCATGATCTCGGGGTCCTGGGATCGAGCCCCACATTGGGCTCTCTGCTCAGCAGGGAGCGTGTTTCCCCCCTTCTCTCTGCCTGCCTCTCTGCCTACTTGTGATTTCTCTCTTTCTCAAATAAATAAATAAAATATTTTTTAAAAAAAGAAAGAAAGAAAACAGGTATTGGCAGGCATGTGGAAAATTTGGAAAATTTGTGCACTATGGGTGGGAATATAAAATGGTGCAACTACTGTAGAACTAAGACAGTGGTTCCCCCCCAAAATTAAACAGAGACTTGCCATATGGATCTAGCAATTTAACTTTTGGGTATATACACCAAAAAATTTAAAAAATAATCATTTGAATTATACCTTTCTGATCATTTACTTAAATCCAGTCATTAATCATTTACTAATCACTGGCATTTATACCAGTGCTTGCGGCAGTATTATTCACAGTAGCCAGAGGTAGAAATAATCCAGATGTTCATCGACTGATGAATGGTTAAACAGACTTGAATACACACACACACACACACACACACACACACAGTGGAATATTATTCAGCCTTAAAAAGGGAGAAAATTCCAAAACTTGCTACAATGTGGATGAACCTGGAAGGCATTGTGCTAAATGAAATAAGCCTCACACAAGAAGACAAACACTCTATGATTCCACTTAAATGAGGTACCTAAAGTCATCATAATTCTTAGAGAAAGAAAGTAGGACTATGGCTGTTTGCCAGGGGAATGAGAGAAGGGGAGAATGGATAGTTACTGTTTAATAGGGACAGACTTTCAATCTGGGAAGAATGGAAAAGTTCTGCAGATGGATGGTGATAATGGCTGTACAATAATGCAAGCATATTTAATGCTACTGGAACTGTAAGCCTAGAAATGGTTAAAGTGGTAAATTTTACGCACAGTAGCCCCTCCTTATCTGTGGGAGATATACATCCCAAGACTCTCAGTGGATGCCTGAAACCAAGGATAGAACCAAACCCTGTATATACTATTTTTAACTCTATATACATAACTATGATAAGGTTTAATTTATAAATTAGGCACAGTAAGAGATTAACCACAATAACTGATAATGAGAACAATTATACTGTAATAGGAGTTGTATAAATGTGGTCTCTTTTGCTCTCAAAATATCTTAATATACTGTACTCACCCTTCTTTTTATGATGATGATGTGAGATTATAAAATGCCTAAGTGGTAAGATGTAGTGAGGTGAATGATGCAGGCATGTGTTAGGCTACGGCTGCTTCCAGACCTTGGCTGAACACAGGTAACTGAAATTGTGGAAGTGAAACCAGAGAAAGGGGTGGGGTGCAGGGACAGAAGGGGCTACTGTAATGTGTATCTTACTACAAGTAAAAATAACCAGATCTAGAAATCTTGATGGTTTTATCCTTCAACTAAAATGGAATAAGGATAAGGGAGTAGTAGAGAAAGGTAAATCTAAGTAGTTGGGTAGTATTTGCACTCTACAAATATAGATATATCTGTAGCCCAAAATGGGTATTATAATGAAGGCAGAAGTGATAATGTTACTCGACCCTTCTGGAAGGCACTCTCTAAAGGAGTACTGAGAATTACATATTTTGTAAGGTATTCAAATGTTTTAACAATCTACCCAAGGCTTGTAATATTAGATAATAAATTTTCATCACACGAGTACCCTTCTGACAGGAGGGCAAATAAAGATTCAAGTCCATCCTGATCTTATGTGTGTAACTGTTACAGAGAATTAGACCACTCTATCAAAAATATGCCACTCTGGCATAAAGATTATTCTGAGAGGACAAAAAAAGAGAAACAGCACAAACAGAAAAGCTATCTTCCCGTGACTGTTAATCATCAAAGATGAATCTAGATTTTTTCTAGCCCAGAGATGGCAGCAAGAGGAACATATTAACAAACCTAACTAAAAAAAGCCCTTATCTTCGATCAATTTCCCCCTTATAATTACCTTCCTGCAGCTGTGACCCTAAAACCTAAACTCCTCTTCCTTTGTCTTGTCACTTCTCAATAAATGTATCGTTCTTTGTTAAGAAGCTATATGAGCCCAAGCTCTAACCACCCCTTTGAGTTACTCATCACTGAGTTTGTACTGCATGAGTGCATGCCACACTAGTTAATAAATTGTCTTTTTTTTTTTTTAAAGATTATTTATTTATTTATTTGACAGAGAGAAATCACAAGTAGGCAGAGAGGCAGGCAGAGAGAAAGGAGGAAGCAGGCTCCCCGCTGAGCAGAGAGCCCGATGTGGGGCTCAATCCCAGGACCCTGGGATCATGACCTGAGCTGAAGGCAGAGGCTTTAACCCATTGAGCCACCCAGGTGCCCTAATAAATTGTCTTTCTTTTGTTAATCTTTCATCAGCTTAATTTCCAAGGCCCCAGCCAAAGAACCAATGAGGGTAGAGGAAAAACTTTCCTCCTTTACACTGCCATCATTGTGGAGTTCAGGAAAGGAGGAAAAGAATGCCCAAAACAAGAAGATATAATTATTTAAAGAAAATAAAATATTGTGCAGACAAGACATATTAGGGCTGAAAGTAATTTTTTTAAAGAGAGAGTGTATAAGTTGGAGGGGAGGGGAGGAGCAGAGGAAGAGGGAGAGAGAAAGAATCCCAAACAGGCTCCTGACATGGAGCCCCATGTGGGACTCAATCTCACAACCCTGAGATCATGACCTGAGCCAAAACCAAGAGTTGCACATTTAACCGACTAAGCCACCCAGGCACCACTGGGGTGGAAACAAGTTTAATCAGTGCCGTTTTAGAGAGCTTATAGGTCACCTCACAGAATCAGAAATAGAAAATAAAAAGAAAGAAGCTAGGAAATTTAACACAGATTTAGTAATTAGGATGCATGTCTTTCAAATTGTGAGCAATGAATGTTGTTATAAACAAGCTTTTTAAAATAGCACTTTAACAAACAATAGAGTAAATGGTTATATAGTGAAGATCATCACTATGCACTTACAAAAGGAATTTTAAGCCTATTGTTATGCAAATGAGTACTTGAGATCAGGAAAAAATTCTGACTGATAGTATGGATTCAAAAATTACTGTATCTCAAACAACCTAGATGAAAATTAAGATGATATATTCCAAAAACTGTATTAAATGAGGGGAAGGTGCTTCTAGTGATAATGTATTTATGGACATAAATATGCACTGAAGCCATCTGAACACAATTATGTCATTAAATGTGAGAACAGGCAAAAAATTTAACATTTGGGAGTTTAAAAAATGTTACTGCTTAAATTTATAAAGTAAATACTGTGAATGTACCTGTGACTATTTAGTCTAGAACCCTAAAAGTTTATATACTAAAACTGGCCTCTACTTCAGGTTGCCTTATATTTGGGTAAATAGAAAATTTTCTTTTTGTAGATGAAAGGCACAACAAGTGAGTATTTATGAATATTCACTAATCTGTGATTAGAATTTGCTCTATATAACTGAATATTCTGTTTGGGTTCGAGTACTTACAGATACAGGAATGGGACTGGCAAGGAAAGAAAGCACCAATGTCAATGGCAACACACCAGGTGATTCTCTGTCACCTCTGCCCATATCCAGGCATTATTCACATAATCCCAAAACATCTGTTCTCTGGTAGATTGCCCACAGTCCGCTAATCCTCTTGCGTTCCATTAAGCACAGCTTCTATAGCACCTTGCATAGAAGAAGAACCCATAGCATTTGCAAAAGGGGGGAAAGAAGGATAGGTCTGAGGAAGGAGAGAGCAAAGAAACTAGCTCTATGGGCCCTCTGAGAGAGAAAAGAAAAGCATGCTCCCTACAGCACTGCAAGAAAGTTGCTGATCTCAGTGTGGGGAGTACTGCACTGTATCTAAACATACTGCTAAATGACCTTGTAAAAAAATACCCCTAGGAGCTCCTACGTGAGTCAGCTGGTTAAGCGTCCAACTCTTGATTTCAGTTCAGGTCATGATCACAAGGTCGCGAGATCAAGCCCCATGTTGGGCTCTGCACTCGTCACGGAGCCTGCTGGATTCTCTCTCTCCTTCTCCCTCTGTCCCTATACACTCTCTCTCCCTCTCTTAAAAAAACAAAACAAAACAAAAACAAAACAAAACACCTCTATATAATAATTTTCTTGTCATTTCCCTGGAAGTTAATCTGGGTCATAAAATGAACAAACAAATCTAAAACATTAAAAATGCCCCTAATGAATATTTCCAATTGGTGACCACTTAACCCTAATTTTATAAAAATAAAGTTTATTGGTGATCCCCATAGCAAGGGCAAACCTACTGAAATATAATGCTTTCCTGCCAAGTTGAAAATAGGCAATAACACAAACATAAAGATAATTTTTAAGAGTTCAGAGACCTTCTATTTAGTATCATATATAACACAGAAAACAGTGTGGATAAACAAGACATAAACAATATCTTGAGTCAATTTTGCCTTGATTTTCCTTGATAAATATAATACACAATATGAGAAATATGGAGCCCTGTCTCTCTGAGGGAACAAAAAAAAAAAATCACAAATGGCAAAAGAACTCTTCTTTGAAATGGATAATCTGGAGAAACACATCATTAAAAAAACAAAAACAAAACAAAACAACAAGGCAAAACCCCACTATAAACCACCATAAAAGGCACCTGCAGCTTACTGACTCTTACCAGGAGTTGTGTAATACAGAAAAGATGAGTTTATACTTAGTTCAGCATTACACTATGTGGTACATCTTGGAAAAATGATTAATTACAAAAGTTATATTTTCCATTACATTTGGTTCTTTTGAAAGTTACATGACTTTGGAACAGGGGTTGGGAGGCAAGGAAAGGAGGAGGGAAGTGGAAGAGCCGTTCTCATCCCTTACCATGTTTTCCGTGCTGTAGCCGTACTGCTGCGCCTCCGGGGAGTACAGACTCACCATGGATCTTGCTCCCCGAAGCTCAGGCGGTTCACTATCATGCAACCACTGGGTGCCAAAGTGAAGTTCCTTCACAGAGGGAACAGGAGCAGCCTCTTGAAGGTGTGATGAGGGATACAAGTCCATGGACTGCAAGGGATCTTGATATAGCTCATAATCGTCATCAACAAGCATCTCTCTTTCTTCCCCCATCTCCTGCAATCTAGGAATCAGAAATTCATGCATCTCCCAGGCCTCATTGCTGTGATCTATCTCTTTCTGTTGGGACTGAAAAGCCTTTCCCAAATTGAGGAATGGTTCATCTACAAGTTCTTCTTTATAATAGGGTTCATCTCTAAATTCCTGTAAATAAAAGTTGCAAAAATTATTTTTTTTTGCAGTGGCACTCTACGGGGATTCGCTAGGAAGTTAACCCCTGACAGAACCTCAGTGACTATATTCCTCGCCCAGGCACAGTTACCTGGAACGGCTCTCCATTACAAAGGAGGAGAAGTAAGTGCTCCCTCCCACACAACCCTCAACGCAAAGAAAGGGACAAACAGTAAAAGGCAGCAATCTGCCCTCGGCAAGGTGAATGACTATTCCAAAAGGTCTTGTTACACATTAACCACCTGAAAATTCTCAATCAGAAATAGGAATTTTGTTAACCTGCTGCACTGAACATTTGGCTCATACATCTTATACAGAAGTAGTACATAAACACGGACACACATCACATCTAAGAAAGCAAAGATTTAAAAAGTCAGGATTTTCAAGCTTATGTAAAAAATTATCAAAAAGCAGTATCTATAAAGATATGAGACGTATGTCCCAACTACCTTGAGTATGACTATTTTATAATATGCCCTGATACAGAAATGTTTATTTAATTTAATTTATTTGACAGAAATCACAAGTAGGTAGAGAGGCAGGCTCCCCGCCAAGCAGAGAGCCCAATGTGGGGCTCAATCCCAGGACCCTGAGACCATGACCTGAGCCGAAGGCAGAGGCTTAACCCACCGAGCCACCCAGACACCCCCAGAAATATGTTTTTTCAACTGTACTGAAATTATATGGCAAAAAGGAATGAATATAGTATGCTTTTTAATTAATTTATATTTCACGACTTAGAAGTACATACAACTGAAACTAGTCATACATGTGCAGAAACTTTGCTGAGTTCCTAGGTAATGCCTGAGGAATGTATGGATTTGCACAGCCTCTAATATAACCCTGGGGATCCTGAAGAGTGCTAAGCACAAGGAGGCTCAATTCCTCTTGAGAGATCAATGACATTTCCTACAGACCCCTATTCACTAAATATTACCAAATGCAAATTCATGGAATGAATCTACTACTTCCCACCTTTAAATTATTATAGTGTATCAAATATTGCAAGCCAGCTAATTTTTTTACAGGTGTGTTTACAGGGTATATTTGAAAATGTCATACACTTATGAAATTTTAACAAAAAATGTCTAAACTAAAAAAAAAACCCACAATGTATAGTACAGAAATAAATATCAGCTTGAGGCACTGTCAATAAATTATGCAAAGACTATCACCAGACGGTTGTTATCAGGTAAGGCAATACCATACTCTACCTTCAAAGAGCAAAATAACCACAATTCATATTCAGAATAAAAAAGGAAAAGCTTCAAAATACACTTCCTAAAATTAAAGCGGAAAGAAAGGTTTGACTAAATAACTCTTCTATAGGAAGTATTCGGTAAGAAGTCCTTTAGTATAGCTCTGTTTTCTACAGCATTTTAAATGCATGCCTATTTTCAAACATTGTGTTCTCTCCTCAAAATTTTAAGAGTTTATCTGTAGTATAAAATAAGGTATGTTTGTGCTTTGAAAATGCCTTATATCTGGCCTATGTCATTTATGAAGCCACTGAGATACAAGAGGAAAACAGTTCATTTAAAAAAAAAAAAAAAAAAAAAAAAAAAGGCGGGACGCTAGGTGGCTCAGTCCTTAAGTGTCTGCCTAAGGCTCAGGTTATGGTCCCAGGGTCCTGGAATGGAGCCCCGTGTTTGGCTCCCTACTCAGCTAGAAGCCTTACTCTTCCTCTGCCACTCTCCCTGTTTGTGTTCCCTCTCTCACTGGCAAATAAGTAAGTAAAATCTTTTTAAAAAATCAAAAAATAAAATAAAATAAATAAAAAAGAGGATCATTTAATTTATATCTCTTTAGCCAAGAGTGAGAACAAGCTTTTGTCTTCTTTATAGAAATGTTAGCTCACAGCAAACCATTCGAATATGAAACTGATTTACTAAATACCTTGGGTGCTTCAAGTATCAAAGATGAATTTATGTCATGAATTGTTTCCAAAAGTTCAGTCTTGTCTTCATCGTTGTTTGAATGTAAAATATGACTTTCTTCCTCTTTATCATCTTCCTGAAACCAGAAACAATTTTATTTTTTTGAAAGATTTTATTTATTAATTTGAGAGAGAGAGCGCGCGCGCATGAGAGAGCAAGGGGGGGAGGCGGTGGAATGCAAGAGGGAGGAGCAGACTCCCTGCTGAGTAGGGTGTCTGCAGGGCTCAATTCCAGGACCTTGGGATCATGACCTGAGCCAAAGGCTGAGGCTCAACTAACAGCCACCCAGGCACCCCTGGAAAAAAAATATTTATTTATTTATTTATTTATTTATTTATTAGCACAATTGTAGAGATGTTTTTGTCAACACGAAGCTATCTTTTACCGAGATATAAATGACACATAACATTATACAACATAATAATTAGATGTATGTATATATTGCAAAGTTGTAATAAATTTAATTGTATCTAAAACTTTCGAATATACAATATGGTCTTGCTAACCAAAGTGATCATGGTGTACATTACCAGGACATATTTATCTTATGACTGGAAGTTTGCACCTTTTGACGACTTTCATCCATTTTATCCACCCCTTCCCACCTCTGGCTACTATAGGAAGAACTCTAATAATCAAGAAAATACTCTTGAACTCTCTTCAGATTAATTCTCATCTTTCCATTAAGTGCAAGGACACAATAAAACTTACACAAATTGTTTCATGAGAACAAACTTTTCTTTAATAATTAAAAAGAACTCCATATTTGTGTCAAAGCTTCTCATTTTTTCTTTTTAAGTATTCCTAAAAGTACATGCAAAAGAATGAAACTGGACCATTTTCTTTCACCATATACAAAAATAAACTCAAAACGGATTAAAGACTTAAATGTGAGACCTGAAACCATAAAAATCCTTGAAGAAAGCATAAGCAGTGATCTCTCTGACATCAGTTGTAGGAACATTTTTCTAGATATGTCTCCTCAGGCAAGGAAATTAAAGCAAAAATAAACAATCAGGGCTACATCAAAATAAAAAGTTTGTGCACAGCAAGAGAAACAATCAATGAAACTAAAAGCCAGCTACAGAATACGAGAAGGTATTACAAATGACATATCCAGTAAAGGGTTAGTACCCAAAATACATAAAGAACTGATACAACTCAACACCCCAAAAAAATCCAGTTAAATAATCCAATTGAAAAATGGGCAGAAGACAGGAACAGACAGAAGACATACAGATGGCCAGAAATAAGATGTGATCTAGTAATTCCACTATTGAGTATTTACTCAAAGAATAAGAAAACACTAATTTGAAAAGATACATGCACCTTTATGTTTATTAGAACATATTTACAATAGCCAAATTTGGAAATAAGCAGCTCAAATGTCCATCAATAGATGAATGGATAAGGAAGATGTGTTGTATAAATAATGGACTGTTATTCAGCCATTAAAAAAAATGAAATCTTGCCATTTACAACATGGATGGAGCTAGAGAATATAATACTAAATGTAATAAGTCAGTCAGAGAAAGGTAAATACCAAACGATCTCATCACTCATACGTGGAATTAAGAAACAAAACAAATAAGCAAAGGAAAAAAAAGACAAACCAAGAAATATACTTTTTTTTTTAACGATTTTTATTTATTTATTTGACAGAGAAAGCGAGCGAGCAAGCATAAGCAGGGGGAGCAGCAGGCAGGGGAGAAGCTGGCTCCCCACCGAGTAAAAAGTCTGATAGGGGGCTCGATCCCAGAATCCTGGGATCATGACCCTATCCAAAGGCAGATGCTTAATCAACTGAGCCATCCAGGTGCCCTGAAACAGACTCTTAACTATAGAGGACAAATTGATGATTACCAGGATGGGGGGAGGTGGTGGATGGAGGAACAGATGAAGGGCACTTACCGTGATGAAAAATTAATAGATAGATAGAGAAATAGATAAATAAGTAAATAAATAAACTTTTTAAAAAGAAAATTCAACAGAAGTACAAATTAGAGTTTCACATGTTTGTCAGATATAAGATCAAATTACCAAGTCAGTATCATTACCTCTACTTCAGCAATAGCTAGTTTGAAAATATAACAGAAAATAAGACATTACTCACAAAGGAGGGGTAAAAGCAGTAAATTATCTCAGAATTAAACTAAAAAAGACTGTAGGGCACATTTAAGGAGAAAAGAGTAAAAGAAGATCTGACTAAACAGAAACATACTATGTGGGGGGGAAAGTATTCCTTAAATTCAAAAACATACCAAAAAAGGAACTTAGTATTAAAAAATATCGTATGGGGCACCTCGGTGGCTCAGTTGTTAAACGTCTGCCTTCGGCTCAGGTCATGATCCCAGGGTCCTGGCACTAAGCCCTGCATTGGGCTCCCTGCTCAGTGGGGAGTCTGCGTCTCCCTCTCTCTCTCTTCTGCCCCCCCTGCTTCTGCTCCCTCTCTGTCAAATAAATAAAATCTTAAAGAAAAAAAAAAGAAGAAGAAGACTTATCAGTATAGGGGCACTTCTGTGGCTCAGCTGGCTGAGCATCCAACTCTTGGTTTTGGCTCAGGTCATCATCTCAGGGTCATAGGACTGAGCCCCATATAGGGCTCTGTGCTTGGTATGGCATAGGCTTGAGATTCTCTCCCTCCCTATCTGCCCATCTTCCCACTCACACTCTCACACTCTCTCTCGCTAATAAATAAATAAAATCTTTTCTAAAAAAAGAAATGTAAAAAAAAAAAAAAAGGAAAAAAAGAAATGTATCAGTATATACAGGATAATACCAAAATATTTAACAAAGGTACAGTACAGTCACTTGCCATCTGAAAAGTTTCAGCCATCCTGGTGTCTACCAGCTCAATAGCAGTCCTAGGTCAGAACATAGCTACCATTTATGAAGTCCTAACTCTAAATCACGATCCATGGTAAACACTTCATATGCTTTGTCTCAACTTAATTTTCACAGCAATCCAAGTCAGGGCTTTATATTTTGTATTTATATAAAAATAGTGGCAAAATATATATATATACTTATGACACTATGTGCCAGACATTGGTTTAAACATTTTAAATATTCAATTTAGTACATTCATTAGCATATTAATATACATTCTAAAAAGTAGGTAGTCTTATTAACCCTAGTTTACAGATGAGCAAAAAATTACATAACTAATCAGTTACACACCCAGAATTGGAACTATCCAGCTTTATGGTCTGGGATCTCAACTATGTCATGCAGTCCCCACATTATAGACAAGGAAGTGGGAGCTGATGAGGTTAAAGAACTGGCCCATGGACACACAACCTTGCAAATCACAGAACTAAGCAGAAACTCACAGCTGTCTGGCTCAAGAACTCCATCGCCAGCTCTGACCTATTAGTTCCAAAGATACAATGCAGTTTTTAAAGTCAGTTCATTCGTTTTTCTGGATCTGGTGTATTTGAGATGAATTTGTAGAAATGAGAAGATAAACCCCATTCATGATTAACATGAAAATATATAATATGAAACACATTATATAGACAATGTATAACAATATAATACTTGACTTAATAAAAAAATTCGTGTTCTCCTAACTTTTATATATTCATAGTCTTTCTGGCCCAAGATGACTTTGGGCCACCTTCTTCACAGTCTCTTCCCTACTTCTGCAGAGGACTAAGTGAATGCTCATTACGTGATAAGGTAAGTGGCCACCAAGTGGGCTACCAGAGAGACTGAGATCTTAATGAAGATCTATATGTATCACTATTTACAGCTCATGAGCAAACAGTTTTGCTAAAGGTACTCGGAAATTAAAGAAGGAATTAATGGTAATTCCATTTATTTTTTTTAAAGATTTTATTTATTTATTTGACAGAAAGAGAGTGTGTCCACAAGTGGCCAGAGCAGCAGGCAGAGAGAAAGGAAGAAGCAAGCTCTCCGCTGAGCAGGGGATCTGAAGTGGGACTCAATCCCAGGACCTTGGGACGATAACCTGAGCTGAAGACAACAGCTTAACTGACTAAGCCACTCTGGCACCCCTCCACTAAGAATCTTTTAGAGTCCTAAAAGTGACCTTTGTCTTCATCCCTTTTGTGGCTTCCCACTCCCCTACTCACAAAGAGGAGCCTAGGCAAAGGTCCACCTCACAATTACGACGTTCGAAAACCCTCTCAGAATGCGGCTCTGATATCCTGAAGTCTCTTCAGCTCTCCCTCCACCAGAAATAGCCCAGGAATCTGCACCCAGGCAGTAACGAAGCTCTGATTTCTGTACCACCTGACACATCCCTCAAGTGCTTCAGAGTAAAGTCATGCTGTTTAAGGCCTCCAGGACATAAATAGTTTGGGAGCCCAAACTCTGGCAGCCCAAGTAACCGGGCAAGTACTCATCAGGGAAAATCGAGACAACAACCCCCTACCCCTGCCACAACCAAGAAGATGAGATCTCCATAAAGACATCAAGTTCCTCCCTGCAAATGAATTTGTCCAGAAATCAAACTAGGCAACTCCTGGTGTCTCGTGTTGGCTATGGCAACACCCATACACCAAATATAGAAGACAAAGTCAAGAACTTTGATTAGCTATGTGCTATACTCCATTTTGAAATATTTAGAGTGTCTGATAGTATAACATACCGGCATCTTTATGGGGAATTCATGAAGGCCATGTTGAGGATCCCCAACACATAAATACTACATGTAATACAGGAGCTATCTCTATCTATATATCTATACCTACATATCTGTAAATGAAGATATTTATCTATATTTACCTATACATATGGACATGTGTGGTATGTTAACATATTCATATAGCTTATTAATATATTTCATAGAAAAAAACAATCTTAGAGTTAAGAAAGATTTTAGGAGTCCTCTAGTCTTGGTCAGTCTTTTCAGAGATGAAAAAATGGGCTCAGAGAAGAAAGGTAGTATAATGATGATCAAATTACTAGGACAGGGGCGCCTGGGTGGCTCAGTCATTAAGCGTCTGCCTTTGGCTCAGGTCAGGATCCCAGGGTCCTGGGACTGAGTCCCGCATCAGATGCCCTGCTCAGCGGGGAGCCTGCTTCTCCCTCTCCCACTCCCCCTGCTTGTGTTCCCTCTCTCACTGTGTCTATCAAATAAATAAAATCTTTAAAAAAAAAAATTACTAGGACAACGTTTCTCAAAGTGTGAAATTCTTCATCAGAATTATAGGGGTAATTCACTGAAGAGGCAGATCCCTCAACAGCACATCCCAATGACTAGATGAGAATCTCTGAGGGTGAACTCCCAGGTTATCCTCATGTATATTACATATCTTTGCATTGAAACCTACTGGGCTGACTCATAGGAAACGTAGAAACGGAGTCTAGGTTTCTTAAAATCCAGTTTAACACTTTACTAAGACCATCTCTCTGTTTCCAGAAGGGCTGACTACAAACTAAACTCACAACAAGTTAAATATACAGCACTGTGGTCTGAAGCCCCCTGAGTTTATACCCCAACTCTGTCCCTTACTAGCTACATCACTGAGGATAAGCTGCTCAACTCTCTGTGTCCTGATGGCCTCATCTGTAATCTCTTCAAGTTGCCAGGAGGATTAAACTAGTTAATACATGTAAAAGTTTTAAAATACTGAAATACAATAAGCACTCAAGAATATCTTCATACTGCTTGCAAATTATCATCAAGTATTTTGTTGCACTGGGGAACCTCAGAAGCACCCTAATTGTAATATAGCCCTTAGTCATAAACACTAATCTGACCTGGTACATAAGGATAAGCAGTAAGAGAACTTCAAGATGACCTGACCACACGGAGTTCTAGATGCTAGGGGTTATTAAGGCACTTTGATGGGCAGAAGAGCATATTCAAATCCCATTGCCTATAGTTAAAACAATATAGTTAACTGGATTTTAACTTATCATGCCATCTCAACATCATTTCCAAGTGAAAGTTAAAATGCATAGACTTTTGAAGTTTACATCATAAGGAATATGATGAGAACGTGCAGATCTGTGCTAATATTATGAAGATAAAGATAGCAGTAAAAGCTAAAGGACTAGCAACATTAGTAGCTACTATTTATATAACAATGTGCACACGCTTAATCTTTAGTCCCCAAAATCTTATGAGATAGGTATTACGTTTCTAACTTTTTAAGTCAAGGACCTAAGAAACTTCTCTTAGGACACAGAGAGAATAAGCTGTGGAAGAGGGATTCGAAATTGGTGTATTTGTCTCCAAAATCCATGTTCTTAAGTATTACACTATGATCATGTCCTATATTAACAACATTGAACACTTACCACCAAGGGCTTACAGATGCCGAGGCGTACAATGCCTGGCGGCACAGCTTTCAACACGTCCACAGCTTCGGCAAGTGTGGTGTTTTCCAAACAGTATTCATTAACTGAGACCAGGCGGTCCCCAGGTAATAGCTCTCCCCCTCTTTCTGCAACACCATCTGCCACCAGGGAACGGATCACAATCACTGATCTTGTGGGATCTAAAGGGTCCTAAGGATCAAGCCAAGAAGAAAGGTAAGTCAGTTTCTGAAAACGCATAGACTCATGAATCTGATTTCACTAGTTACAGTAAGTATCCAGCATTCTGGGGATATTCTTCCAAAGAGGTCAAAAATCTATTACAGTATCACTCTATACATCCACACAAATATCATTTTATATCAAGGCAGAAACATCATCTTAACAATTTCAGCTATGTGTCTGAGGGTTCAATACCTACAAATTTCTTTTTTGAACTTTCAGTGACCGGTATTTTATTGGGCCACAAGAAGTCTGATGACAGCTGAACAAGACTCTCTGATATCCTCATGCACATTCATATTATAGGCCAAAGACAAGTCTGCTCTTGGGCAATAAGTAGGCTCTAAGAGAAGGAACTACGGTAAATGAAACTTCACTTTTTATGTATTCCACCAGTATAAAATCCTCATGCTAAATCAAAGAAGTTCAAAAAAGATATGGAATCCATGGAATATTCCACTGTATGAAAAAAGGAGCTTAAAAATAACACAGCTACAATTCATAACATATAAATTGTAACATGGTATAGGGACCCCTTGGTGAGAACTATTCTGATACAAGAAAATAAGCATCACTTCATGAACAAAACCAATGTGAAAATAATTCTGATCCACTGGAAAGGCCCCATTTTTCTTTTTATTTAGCAGCCCGAAAGATAATGTTGACATTCAATAAATGCATTTGATTAATAAGAACAAATTTATAGTCCATTATATTTTATTTTGTTGGACACTGATATATAGTACTATGTGTCAGGCTCTATTTTAAGTGCTTTACTTAACACTTGTCTATGTTTCTACAGATGAGGGAACTGAGGCTCAGAAAGTTAAGGAAACTTGCCAAGATTACCCATCTGGTAAGTGGCAGAGCTAGGATTCAGATCCAACCAGGCTGGTTCCCAAGTCCTTCCTCTTAACTACCATGCTCTGCTACTTGTTCCACATTAAAATAATGGTACAACTACTAAACCTCAAACTTAATAAGGGAGAGAAAAAAAATCATCAGACCCCAGGTGAAATACTTGTTTTTATTTTGTTCCTACTGTTTCATTACGTACATACTGTTCCATAAAGGCAAGGTGTAGTAACATGAGATTCTACTACTGTTGAACCCTTCCTGACAAATGAGAGACCAACGACCATGTTTTATGTTAGAATCAGAAGACTTTGTAATTAACAAAATGAGAATCTGCCAAGTTCCAGGCTGTCAGTTTGAAGTGGCTGATGGTTCTTTTGAGTTTTCTGATACACTTTCATAGACCTCTGTGTTTTAGACATCAAGGTTCATTTTCAAGTACTATATGGAATTTTAACCAAATATATATAAATCAAAAAAAGCGACACAGCTAATTCCTTGAAAAATGCCTTCAAACGTAACTTATCTTACTCTCCTTAACCTTGCTTCTTGCTCCAAGGTCAAGAGATTCTTGATATATCTCTAACATGCTCTGATGTATAACACCTCATATTCAGGAAGAGGATGGAAAGTAAAAATAGTCAGGAGTACTCAGTAACAAAGTATAGTGTCGAACTATAATTACACCAATATTTTCAAGTAGAGGGAGCTATTGCATAGGAAGAGAAAAGAAAAGAACAAAAAAAAAAGTACAGTGGTATATCAGCAGGCAATCAGCACAGATATAAAAGAGCTGTCTATTTTGTCACCGGCAACCATGAATCACAACACACTTTTCATTCTGAAATATGAAACCATTACATTTTAAGTTTGACACACTAATAAATAAGCTGTACAATTATGTCCTTCATTTAGGATGTCAGTTTGTGATGAAAGGCTTTTTTATTAGGGGGGAAGGGAAACTACATAATAGCATATTCCCCTCATGAAATGCACAGAAAGCAACTAGCATTACTTCATATTAATAATTACTAAACTTTCCCAGAGAAAATTGCAACAGTAAAATATACCAAAAGCAAATAAATGATTTCACCAGCTTGGTACAAGCAATCTCTGCAGTTTCATGGAACACCAAATCAAAAAGCACTATTTTTACCCCAACTAGATGAATAGGTTTTCAAAATGCAACCAGCTGAAATGATAATTAGAAACATTTCAAAGAAAGATTAACCGGGCAATAACAAATGGAACGATTAATAGATTTCCCTTATTACAAAAAAGTCACAGTAAGCATTCATTTATACAAAGTACAGTCTTCTTTTGGACCTTAAACTATACCAGGTGTGCTTGCTTACTAAAATTTATTCAGGCTTAGACCTCTAGTTATTCTCAACACTAAGTCTAATCTACCACCCCTTTTCCTAGAGGAGAGAACTCAAGGGCCGCTCCTTTGTCAAAAAAAAAAAAAAAGGACAAACCATCCACTTCTGAAGATGCTCCATTATGTATAATCACTATTTCATTTTCTGTGATGACTTTTCTGATGGTGTGATTTCTCAGGTAGCTGAATGAAGCTGCTTTAATGAGGAACAGTCATTTCCTTTCATCCTCATCATAGGTAGTAGCTGCCCTATGGAAAAAGAACAGCTACTGCCTACTGGGATGACAGCTATTCTTTTTTTTTTTTTTTAAGGCAAAACCCTACTTTTTTTTTTAGTTTTTTAAAATTATTATTTTTGCTTATTTGCCTTTTTATTTTTCTATTATCATATAATGTATTATTTGTTTTACGGGTACAGGTCTGTGATTCATCAGTCTTACACAATTCACAGCACTCACCATAGCACATATCCTCCCCAAAGTACATCACCCAGCCACCCATCCGACTGCTATTCTTGGGGCTTTGATGCATAAAAAAATGCTGAAAAACCAGCCTGATTTAGGCTCTTCGTCATCAGGAAGGTCTGTTTTCTGAAAATGTAGCCCACAATAGCATATACATGTTGTAGCAAACAAAATGTTAAGACGATATTTCTTAAGACCTCTACCCAACTGCGAGACCCCATGCAGATTTTTTTTAAGTCCCCATCAGTTTTTATCACCTTTTATCACAATTTTAATACCTCTAATTCTTACTGTTTTATGGTAAATAACACTGCAAGGAACATTGTTTTCCAGATTCAACATTGTTTTAGACTAAGCAGTCAACAGAGGGCACTAAAGACTAATCACAGAACACAAGAAACAGCATCTTTCACTATGCTAGCCATTCTCTTCCGAAAGATTTTTCCTTGTTTATTCAAAAGGCTTATATTATTATTCACATTATAACAGCATTCCCTATGTTTGCCTCAACTCAACCGTTTATGAAAGTTGCTCCCTACAGCTCTTAAAAATATTATTGAACTCTAACAATCAATTAAGAACTGCTAACCTCCCTCAGACACCAGACCAGAACACAGGAGATCTGACTTGAATTCTTCTCACTACTCAGCTATGAAATCCTGAAAACCCAATTAACTGCTCTGTCTCACAAGTGAATACAATCACTGTACCTGCTTGAAGAAAAGTGCACATAAGAATTTTTAAGGTTTGCTGAAGTGACATTCATGTTTGATATTATAAACACAGGATGTTTCCATATAGGGAAAATCCAAGTTGACAGAGTCCTCTCCTCCCATAAGCGAGTGGCATTACCATATACCCAAGCATTCAGTTAATTCCTCTCCCCTCACCCCTCCACTGAGCTGCTAGCTGAAGCATGTCAATTTGATCTTCTATCTTTTCCATCTGACCTTTCTCTCCATTTCTGCTGCCACTACCTTGGTTTAGCTTCTCATTATTTCTTGCCTAGGCAACTGCTAATCTCCCCATCTCTGCTCTTGCCCTCTTCAGTCTATTTTCCACAGAGATAAAGGAATAATCTTCAAAAATAAAAATGTGGCGCTCCTGGGTGGCTCAGTCAGTTAAGCGTCTACTCTTGATTTTGGCTCAGGTCATGATCTCAGGGTCGTGAGATCGAGCCCTGCCTGAGGCTCTGCACTGGGCATGGAGCCTTCTTAAGATTCTCTCTCTCTTCCTCTCCAGTGCCCACTCCCCCACCCCTCTGCTCACACGCATGCTCTCTCTCTCTCTCTCTAAAAAAATAAAAATTGGGCACCTGGGTGGCTCAGTCAGTTAAATGAATGACTCTTGATTTTAGCTCAGATAATGATCTCTGGGTCCCCGGATCCTGACACTCCATGCTCAGCACAAAGTCTGCTTGGGATTCTTTCTCCTTCTCCCTCTGCACCTCCCCCTCTCACACTCTCCCTCTCTCAAATAAATTAATCTTTAAAAAAATAACAAAATTAATAAAAATTCTAAAAAATAAAAATAAAAATGCAATTACAATTTTTTCTCTGTTTGCAACACTTCAGCAACACCCAATTGCCTTCAGGATCAAGTCTTAACTGCTTGGTAGAGCAATTCCCTCAGATCTGAGTCTAAACTCCCCCTGCTCTCTCCTTATGTACCACTGCCCACCCCTGTTTGCCCCACACATTGTCCCAACAATACAGAACTACTGAAATCCAAGGATTGTGAAATGCTTTGATGTGCTTCCTGACATCCTACAAACCATTCCACCTACCAGGAATACTTTTTCCCTGTCCCAATGCCACATCTCTCCATGTTTGCCACCAGAGTCAGATCCAATGTGTTCCCATTGGATGGAGAAGCCTTCCCTAGAAGCCTTCCCTGACTCCCCAAAGCTGACTCACGAACTTTCTACTCTGTGATACCCCTAAATCCAAAAGAGGACTTCCACAGAGCGTTTGTCATAATATAGTTTTCCTTACTGTCCTGTACCTCCAGAATAAACTAGGTCCTCCTCCTACATGTACCCACCGCACCCTGCATTTTCTCTATTATAACACTTTTGACATTTTACAGAAATTATTTTAACTGTCTTTCCTACTAAAAATAAGCTTCACGAGAGCAAAGGTATGTTTGCTTATTTGCTGCTTTACTTCTAGGACCTAACTGTAGTGACTGCCATATGGAAGGTACTCAATAGTAGTTGAAATATTGAAGGACTGAAACTATTTGGTTTCTCTCTCCTCACTAGACTGTTA